GGAAATATAAAGTAGAACTCTACTCGCCCAGATCCATTCTCCAGCTTCGTATTGTAAACCAATGTGCCACGCACTAGTATCCCAAGTATTACACTTTCGAATCTCGCGATAGATAAACTGCCATTCTTCTTCAGTTTTGATGGAAACTAAGTCACCTCCCTGGTTGACGCAGGTGCCCCTGTTCTGTCGCCAACTTTTTCCGCGTTTGGAAAATGTATGCGAGGAACTTTTCAAACGGGTGTCTTGGCATCCTATGGAAAATAAGTAAATAGATGAGAAAAAATAAAGGATTGGATTGTACTGATGATAAAGTTAGTGATAATAATGATGATGAAAATGTAAGACGATGATTTATGGCAAAATGTTGATAACAGACTGTCTGATAACAGACAGTTCTGTTATCAGTTTTGTTCTGTTATCAGACTACTGATAACAGAAGAAAACTTTTAACCTCACTGTACTGGAGAAAAATTGGAAAAGACTTAAGCTCTATGAGTGAAAACTAACTAGATCAGGGTTTTAGGGTCAATTCTTTAACTTTGTAGTTCTTTTGTTTTCAAAATCAAGTTTAGAATCACAGGCCGATTGACGTATTTCAAATAGGAAATCAACAGCTAATAAATCTTATAAATCAGTTAGCATTTTATTTCTCAGACACGTCAATGTTTAAACTGGAGTTACGATGTCTCACCTGTTTCTTGCCATTGAATCATCAAGATGAGGATTACTGTAGAAAGTAAATGGATCTATAAATCCAATACCTTTCCTAAGGAGCCGACGGAGAAACTTAAAAAAATACTACATGTACGCAACCTAACCCCCTGAGCAAAACGCTTAAGAGGAAAACGACTCTATCGCCTTGTAACGAGCGTGGGACAAAGGAAAAGTCCTGGGTCCCCATGAAGAGTCGAACCCTAGACCCTCGGACTCCCTCAGAACATCGGAGCGCAGAATCCGAGGATCTTAGTCTTAATTGCTTTGTCCGACGCTCGTTAGAGGACGATAATTTTTTTTTTCTCGATAATATTCATGTGTCCCTGCACACGCACGATTGTCCAAAGTACGAAACGGGACCAAATACATCCAAGCTAAAACTAGGTAATTACTTGTGAACTTTATTCTGCTGTTATTTTAGGATAATAAAACTATGCGATGACTTTGAAAATCGACGACAATTTTCTCTTGAACCTTGTTAAAAGTGGTTGACTGGTCTGTTACCATTGTAACAATTTTTGGTGTTAGTAATAATGATAATAAAAATAATAAAAGTCTTTATTAAGCACTCTTAACAAGATAAGTGTTTAGTTACAATGATGTGAACTTAAGCACATATAAACCTAACTAGATAGCTAACTAACTAACTAACAAGAGAACAAACCTCTATTAACAAAAGTCCCTTTGAAACGTTCAGTTCTGACAAGTGCGAGAATATAATTATGGCGCCTCCTACGAAGCGTAACTATTGGTCGCTTTGGCGGCAAAAGGTCATCTAAAGCTGTTTTAAAATCGCTGTTGGTGATCTTGGCCCACAGCTTCTTATCTTTTAGAGTAATAAATCGAAGAAAAAGCTCTTTACAGTAACCAAGCTTAAAAGCTCTCTTAAACAGCCTGTCTGTGCGACTCAAATACTTATGTAAATATAGGTAGAATAAGACTGATTAAAAAGAAGATGAAGATGATCCAGAGGCAATCCATAGAATTTACAAACACGTAATATGTACATGCGATTATGGGCTTTCGATATGATATCATCAAAATGTAAATCCCAGTTACGCGGATCAGATTGAAAAGTTACACTCAACAACTTCAGACATGGTTTACGCTCTATAGAAGCCAGAGGAGCTGGTAAACCCTTAGTGGATTTTCCTTTAAGAAGCATCTCCCACGTTTTCTCGAAGTTTAGTTGCATACGGTTAGCAGATGTCCATGCAACGATGGATCGAACCTCATCAGCTGCTGAGTTACTGTTGTTGGCCACCGATTTTAATGGAATACTTTAAGTGAAATCATCGGAAAATTTCACAAGCAAATTCTGATATAGTAAAGGACTGTCAGCAGACACAGAAATCGTTTTCGAGGGTTAGATTTTAATAGCCGTCGGGCACTACAAACATTGTTATTTTAGGAATAATCGACATAAGCAGAATATCTTCCATCTCACTCGATTTTTTTTTTTTATATCTTTATCAGAATTCTGTTTTCCTTAATGCTCCAAACTACATGTACATGCTATGATAAAGTTTTCCTCACAGATCTACGTATTAGGGTTTTTTGGACCAGGTACAGAAAGATTTTTTGGGCAATCTTAACAAACGGCAATTGCAGTGATGAATAGCTGAGCAAATTTTACTTTTGGTAATGTTGCAGATGATATAGAGCTAGTTCTTTACTTTTTAGCTCCTTAAAAGTAATCACCGCTTCACCTTTAATGATAGTTGTCGTTGCGATTAATGGCTCGAACGAAACTCCTTTTGAGTTTCTGACTTTTTTTTAATTAAATTTCATTAGAGATAGGCATTACTTAGTTAAACGGCGAACTTCCTTTTACGCGCGAATAAGATCATGCATGTATGTGTCACAGTAACTTCAGAAGGTTGGTAACTGAGCTGATGTGTTCCTGCGAACACGAACACTTCAGAATTAAAATTGCATAATTATGACAATGAGGCAAACTGTTCTAAATGATTTTGCTCTTATCGAAACCTAGCATTTCCATGGAAAAACAGGCTTTAAGATAAATCTTCCTTTATATTTATTCATTTATAATTTTTTTTTTTTTTTAGTATTAAATTCTTCCTTATCCTTTCTCGCCACAAACTCAAAAAACAAATATTTACCGAGTTTTATCCGTTTTGTCATGAAAAAGCCGGATAAAAGCCTCCGATAATAGTTTCTTTCCGGATTAGTTTTGCTGGGAGTTACAGGATGTTCCAAGGCCAAAATTTCTGCATCTAACCATTCACTACATTTTTTTCATTTCTAAAGTAGAACCCATAACTGTAGTAGAGCTGTACTTACTCAGCGCACAGTGAATTGAAAGTGCTGCGGCCATTTTACAGGATTGAAGCCCTCTCATCTCGTTATTCGTCAAGCTCACGATGTGCGAGACGGGTTTGCCGCAAGCAGAACTCGATTTGCTTATATCGGCTCTCGACTGACTTGATAGCAGCGAATCTACCACGGATTTTTCGATGTATTACGATCTCTTTGAAGAAGATAGTATGTAATCGACATAACAGTACTCGATTGCTTCTAACGTACATCACCACTATTTCGTTTTTCCTTACTAAACGGACCAATGAGACTAGAGGCTTTTTCTACCAGGTGCCATGCCATCTATTTCAAATAACTCAAACAAAAGAAATTCGCAATATTAGAATGCCTTCATTAATATACATTCTGTCATAGCACATATGATAATGAAGGTATAAAACACGATTTTAGTCATTAAAAACTAGTCCTGCTTCACCTTTAAAGGCAGTTGTTATTTGCAAAAATTTCAAACCGGAAACTATAGTGACTATCCGAATTGTTAAATTGTACCAATCAAAACAATGACCCTCAAATCATCATTAACCTCAAGCCTTCCGTAGTAATGGGTGAACGTAACTTTCCATATCATGATCTTTGCTCTCATTATGTTGACATCCTGGTTAAGGAACTTTAGTCCAGTAACACCCCTCTCCATGCAGGACTGTAAATGGGTACCCATGAGATGTCAGAGGCTAAGCGGAATACTGGATTGTCTAAGAAGACAAGAGGGTCTTACAAAATTCAGTCTTGAACTTCCATTTCAACGGACATTTAAGCTGTGGAGGATTTTTAAAACAAGTAATACATGTAACCGCATGCCAGGCTGTTTAGACGGTGGAGCCAATATAAGTTTGAAAAACTGAATTCCAAACAAATACTTATCATAAAGTAACTGTGTAAACGGAGAAAGGTAACAAACTTTGCCATCTTGTTGAGCCTGCCATCAGCAGGATAGCCATCAAGAATTATCATTTACAGTAGGCAGCGTGTGTGGGCAATATAATGCAAATATTGTGTTCTAATTGGCTACCTGAGCAAGCCAGATCGGCCGATCTTGCCCGCACGGGATCACTCGCCTTGATCACGCACAAGGGAAGACTGCGTGGAAAAGATTTACAAAGTATGTCATTTTTGGACAATGAAAGCGATTGAGAGACAAAAAGCGAAGAACATAGAAAAAAGAAATCATGAAACGGCGCTACAAACAAAGTTCTATCCCTTTTTCAGCTCTCGAAGTAAACAAGTAATTCTTGGTTCTTATTATCTCGAATAATTTTTTTTTCGCTGTTTGATAAATCCTTTATTGACCACACTCGTGCGGTCAAAATGGCTGGATGTTAGCCTCGTTTTTTTTGAAAAGCGAAAGGCCAATTCTCGGACACGTAAATGTTGATCGGAGATAAAAAAAAAAAAAGCGATAAAAAGTGATGGACCTGGGACGCACGTGGTATTTGCCAGCAGATTGGCAAAGGGGATGGGGAGTAGCCTCCGGGGGAAAAATGAATCCTCCAACTCCCTTTATGTCATAAAAACTGGGGTATGCAGAGGAAGGCTTGAGTAAGGGTAACAAGGGCAGGGTAAGCACACTCCAGGGCAGTATAAATTTCAAACCTTTGAAAAAGCGGTGCATAAATATAACAGCACATAACTTCCTCTGTGTAGCACTTTTCTAATGACTGACTGATTACATCTTTGCGGTTGAAAAGAGGAAATTTGTATGTTCAAACAAAACGTTTTTCACAGAGCTTAAAGAATTTAAGACAAATACTTCCTCTGACATAAGCTCAAATAGATGGGAAAAAAATATTATTTTGTTTTGTTTTCTTTGTTTTGTTTTTGTTTTTGCCACAGTACGTTCTGGAAGATTCTAGCTCTATGTTTGTGTGTGCGAGGCTCTTTCTAATATAGTACACAGTATCTGTCAATTTTAAATGAAATACTTTCCTTCCTTTCATCACTTTTTAAAATTATCTCTCAATCCAATAATTCTGAGCCTCTGCTGCTTTTAATAAATCATCAAATTCTCTGTCCTCTTCTGAGAATCCTGACACAATTCTGTTCAGCCGTTGCAACAAGTCTTGCTTTCTTTTACGTAGTTTTCGAAAAGAAGACTCAATAACATCCTCTTGAAATCTTACTTTCTTTTTTTCTTTCCCTTTGCCGCATTCGTTATTGTTTTCACATTTCGCGGATTTTAACATGCTGCTTATGTTGTCAAAGAATGATTGTCTCCTTATGCTGCATCGATGTTCTTCTGTTTTTTCTCTGGCTATCTCCTCCCTCAATAATTCTGTAGACTGACTTATCTCATCAAAGTTAAATGTTGAACTCTTCTTGAAATGAATGCCAACGTTTTCTAATTCACTGTTCTCCTCTTTTTCGCACGTTTGGGATACCGTCCACTGTTTAAGTGTTTTACTGATTGCATCGAAAAATCCTCCTCTTTCTTTTGAGCTCGAGCAGATATCATCATCAGTAAGTTCATGCAGCTCACTTTCGTTCACGTTTCTCTTTGCCTCCAAAAGAGCATCGTTTATCATGGCAATGAAAAGGTTCATGCAGAGGATTGAGAGAGTAAAAAGTATTAGGAAGGCGAATATTTTGGCGTATATGGTATTTGCCTCCGCTAGCTCATTAATTGTTCTGGCTTTTACTCGTCCAAGAGTTATCTCGAGTTGGAAATAAGCCCCTTTTAACACCGAAGAGTAACGCTCAGATACAGAGCCAAACATCAAGACGCCGAAATGCAAAAATGCGATAAATAAAGTCAATAAGACAATGCTAAAGGAAGATAATGATCGCCAAGATATCTTCAGTGTTTTGGAATACACAACTACATGCTTGTTAAAACGAATGACTCGTAAGAGTTTTGTGGTAACAATGAACATCAAGATACCAAGTACACCATTTTCTGCCTGTTGCCAAGTAATAGCTTCTTGGAAATGTATATTTGCGTAAATGTTTTCTCGCAGTTTTCTCATCGTTGAAGTAACTTTAATTTGTCGCATTATGTGCATTACCACCGCCAACAGAGAGAAAACAAGTTGGAATATCTCGACCCAATTCCACTTCGACTTGAAATATCGAGAACGATAATTGTAAATCCTGAAGATTCCTCTTCCAGAATACAGAAAAACCAAGACAATAAATAGAAACAAGCAAATCAAATAAAACTTATGCCAGGTTGTGTCCGTAGAATGAAGGAAAAGGACACTGATTTGCGTAGAGGCTGCTTTCAGTCCAGATGATTCGATTTCGTAGAAGTATGTGGCAACACCTAAAATGTTTACTGATGGGTTAAATGTCGAAAACTCTGCAAGGACAACTGCGGTGTGCCTGTCAAGCCAACCATTGTTTTGTAAGCTTGTTACTATGTTGAATCCAGTATGATTCTCGTACCCGAGATCTGCTACAAATCCTCCTCCATGATAAAAGGAGAACTGGCCCCACTTGGGTACAATATCTGTTTCCTCAGCATGTTGATATCGCCATGGCTTTGGGCAAAGTAGTAGTAACTCGTCATTCCTCGTAGCATTGTCCAAAGGCCTCCAGCCTGGTTTATTGTATGCGGTCTTGTCTTCGTTCTTCGTCGAGTATCCCTCGAAGCATTCTCGGAACAATGTGTCCATGAATTTAAGGACTTTACATTGAGCTGCAAAGTTAGTGAACAAAAGACCATTTTAAGGAAGTTTTTTTGAGATACAGATATTCAGCCAGAGGTATGTCACGTTTGGAATATTTTAAATAGACAGAAAAAAATATATGAACTTTATATATTCATTGTATCAGACAGATATCTCTGTTAAACAGAAGAAAATAGCTCTTTCTGGGACATTTAAAGTAGCGTTATCCCAAAAAGGTGGAAGAACGCCTTCGCTCTAAAACCGACAATAAATTTAATAATGAACGCGCTCTTTTAAACAGCAATAGTTCTAATGGTCGGAAATCGAGAAATTTGCCACTGGTGTTGTATTTTTTTTTTTTTTTCATCTAGAGATTGCACTAAACACTACTTGCACACTAAGAGTTCCAATTAATGATATATGTATGACCATAAGAGGTAAATGACATGTTACACAGGAAAATTCATTACATGACGAAGGAATTCCGCATTAAATTGCGCCCGGAAAACAATATGGTACGATCGCGAAGCGATCAGTGTGGTTTACAAGAGCAATTTAACGCGGAATTTAAATACCAAGTAATGGATTTTCCTTAAATCGCATAACTGAATAAAAGTAAGAAAAAAATGGAAAATAGCTTTACTTGTACTTGTTACGTAGACGTATATCCGAAACAATATCCCTTAGCCGCGTTTTCAACTCGCAGTCTCATGCTAAATAACTCGCTTCGTTAACCAATCAGAATGCGAGATTTTATTCAATGATACGATTCAAACTGTAATAGCCCTATTACTGAACTAAACACACACAAACGCAAATAAATAAGTAAATCAGGAAAATACTTACTCGATTTCACTCTGAATTGCCTTACTCGAGCCATTCCAACAAGAAGGGAGTGTTTATCACCAATGTAAATTGTTTGTTTCTCCTCTTGACCATTGTACAATCTGCCGGAAAACACTCCTGGAAGGAAAACATTCTGTAACCAGCTCCAGTACATTGTATTGTTTGCCACCTGGGTTAACAAACATAGGTAATAAGTTCGAATCACACAAGCGAAATAGTATTTGAAAGTCCATTTATATCAATATTCTATAAACTTTATACCCATTAAAATGGACAGAAATGGACACGGGAATTAAAGTTGAGGATTTATTCTAGCCAAATTACAGTAACTCACTTTTTTGAAGTTTGCTAGTCCATCCCAGATTGATTTTTTCATCAAGTAACGATGGTCATTTCTGTTTCCAAAGCACACTATCATTAACAAGAAAACGAAAACCAAATAGATAGCCAACTCTGTGAAGTAACGTGACAGGTTCTGTTTCTTGGCCTGGCATTTCCTCATCTTTTCCACCTCTGATAATTTTAGTGTCCAAAACCTCTGTTTTGAGCACCTACTTTTAACTTGCTGAGAGTTTTTGCGGGCATGTTCTGTTGATCTTTTGTTTTTTATTTTTAAAATGGCTGCGAGAAGTAGAGCTGTGAAGAACACTTTTACTGGTTCCTTGATTATTAAGTCCTGCGCGAATGAGATAAGCATTGATGAAAGCCACTGTTCACTCACTGTCTTTTCCCAAATCAGACTGTAGAAAATGGAAAACGCAGAGGAAGCGATACAAGAGCAGAGAAGCAAAACCCATGCGATACCAGTAATCACGATGCCTTTCAGACAATAGCCATTGTTTGTATAAGACTTCTCAGCTCCTTTCTGAAACAATAAAACTATAATAATGTTTACGGGTGCTACAGCAAGCGCGCTTTCAATTCCAGTCACCACTTGCCTCCCCGACATTTTTAACGGTCCGACTTGGATAGGTTGTTCATACTTGCCTCCTAACTTGTAAAACATCGCGTTAGCAAACATGGATGTCAAAAGCACCGAAAGGCAGCAAGAAAGCCGCTGTACTCTTGTGAAGCGGCTTTGTTTCAACTTGGCCGCAACTGATACCCAGATATGCCACTCTGTGAGGCCTCGTCGCCAACGCCTTGCAACATCGCTGACAAAACCTAATCGAGTTGAAGTTAAGTCAATAACTCGCTCAATGCGCCCATCTCCTCGCTCGAGAGCAAACCATTGACTAACCATGAATTTCCACGACTGATTGGATTGTACGTCCCGAATCAGAATTTCCTCAAGAAACCACGAAGGGTTATTTCCAAAGTTATTATGACCAATGTGCACCGCTTGTATCGACCCAAGTGATTTGTTAAGAGAAAGTACAAAAACATCCGAATTACTTCGAGAGAATAACATGTTAACAACACCAGGCTCTTCTTGGCTAAGCTGAAAAATGCCACTCTTTCCACCAGAACCGTAAATCTCCATGGCAACTCGTGCGGTTGTTCCTGCGTTTTTCCAGATCCCAGTAGTAATCACTATCTCGTACTCAAACGTACCGTTTGAAGAGGAAGGAAGGTGGATCAGTAACCCACCCTTGTAAGGAAAAAAAGTTAATCACTGAATGTTTAATACACTATGAATGATGCAAATCACTAGCAAATTTATATTCTTACTTTTCCTCTATCTTTGTTCGTGCGAGATTTCCAAAACGGTTTGATCCAATTGACCACCACCTCGAAAACATTAACATATTTCCGAGGATATATTGAGTCCATATAAACTATTAGAATATAGATCTGCAAATATTTTGAGCTGATTAAGATTTGAAAATTAAGCTTGGTTTCACACTCACATTTTTCGCGTCTTTCCTGTCGATTTTCCATACGATAACAAGTACAACCATATAACACAAGAAAACCACCGCTATAGCCACAATTACTGCAACATTTCCAGTTTCTGATAAATTTTGGAACTGCACTATAACCTCTTCGAAGTCAATAGGATTCGGTTCAACAATGAGACTTCCGCCAAAAGAGGTCAAATGGTTGCAGCTACAATTTAGAAATCCATCTGATGCTGCTAAAACCTAGAATTATAACATGCAAATTAGTTTTGATGTCACTATTAATCACACTGTATTTATTTTGTTTTAGGGCTCTGCTCAGCCCTGGCTGGTTTTTAAATTGCTTCGACTTTTAACTATTGCAGAGCCTACGGCAAGACAAGCGCACGGCACAGCTTTGTCTGAAATTTCCATGTAATCAAAGATAAGCTTTAATTCAATGATAAGCCTAATGAGAGAAGACTATTACAGTACCACCTTATGTGAATTTTCAACCAACTACTTAGAAAAGCACGAACTATATGAAATGTGATGAAAACAATGCCAATCTGTAGCATAAAGATTTTCCTAAAGTTTTTATTCAATTTTACACTCACCCGACAGCCAGATGATATCCATTTCTCAAGTTCCTCTGACCAGTGAACACAGCTTCCCGAGGAAACCTTTAGACTATAATTCTGGTCTGACGTGGAATCATAAGCTGGCACAACAGAGACAATTTGACTTCGGGGCGGGGTGGCTGGTGCATCTTTGACTTCGTTGCAAGAGCGCTTCCGTCGCCTTCCCTCAAAACATGATCTTTTCTCTCTTTTGTGAGGCAAATTCACTGTTGCATTGTAATTTTTTAAGCCAAGAAAGTATTTCCCAGGCTGCTCAGCTAGAATTTGTATCGGTGCTTGCGAATTTAAGGAGCAAAATGTCTGATCCTCTTTTTTCTCATGCGCACTTGGCATCCAAACGCACTTTTCACCATGAGAGATAGTTGCGTTGAGGTCGAAGTCTTGAGTTGTTGGCCGCTGACCAAAACGCATATAGACAAACATATGTACAGTTGTGTCACGAGGTTTAATTTCTAGCATTAGCAGAGTGTTTTCGTACTTGACTTTTATCTCGTGAAAACTTAGATCGCCTTTTTTTGTGAAATACTTTGACCACTCTGTAGGGATTTCCTGAAACTTCAAAGGTGTTACGATGGTGATGTCTTCCGAGATATCTGATATTTTCATGAGCTCACCTTTGTCGTTTTTCAAGTGCAAGGATAGAACATCGGAACCAACTCGCTCATTTGTGCCATCCCAAGTGTAGGGGTTGAATGGTAATGACAGCATCTAGGAGAAGAGTTAATCAACACCTTTTTATCCTGTTGTAATTAGATGATTCAAGTTTAAGGAAAGATGTGCCAGCTAGGTGTAATCATTTACCCTAAGTTGAGTGAAATGTAACGGTAAAAATCTGAGTAATGAAATAAATGAAACGACCACTAACGGTCCCTATTTGTGAGGCATTGAGGATTTTTACTCATATACAGTGGTTGACCGACGTAAATCTGACAGACGTTAATCTGACTGATCAACACAATAGAGTCTCTCGAGAGGTGTGACCCTTTTCTTAGCTTAGATATAAGGCTTATCTAAGGCCAGGTCAGAAAATCAGTCTTTACTCCATCCTCTTTGTTGTCCAAGTGTGAGGATATAATCAACGTTTGAAAACTAGTTATTTAGAGAAAAAGCATTACTGCAGGCTGCAGACGAACCTCGGGATACCTAAGGTGCTATTATCATTAGGCTGGTGTCGGAATCTGATTGAGAAGATTCTCCTGTTTTAGCCACAAATGATCAAGTTTTATCTGTTTTTAGTAAAACCCATATTAGAATACCAACCTGAACATCTGCAAAACTTGTTTTATGAACTCTAGAAACTAACAGTCGGCTTTCAGTCGGTAAGATAAACTGGCCTCTTCCTCCCCTTATCACCCGCCTTGAAAGTCTATCAATGCTGTATCTTCCTAGAGTCATGGACAATTGCCCTGCCGTGATTGAAATCGTGTTGTCATCCGGAACTGTCAGGGCCAACACTGAATCTGCAACTTTTTCGAGGACCTTGATTGAAATCTTGACGAGTATCTTTCCCTGAAGAAATAGTTTCAAAAAAAAAAAAAACTCATAAGGAACAAAAAAACAATAACAGATTATCACAAGCTCGAAACAAAGAGATCGATGGTCTGAACGAAAAAGGTATTAGCGCTTAAGTCAAAAACAATATTTGGTGGAGTATTAATCAATCGAAGAAAGCATAACGATCACATATAGGGAAAAGTGTAACATTCATAGACAAAAACACAATTAAGGAAGGGAAGATTTACTCCAAATTATAATTGTAGTTTTACCGGTAAGTATATTATATCATACGTCACAGTACCTGTTCTTGAAAACTTGACTTGAAGTCCTTCGATGCGATTAATGCTGCTGCCTTTAACACGCTATCTAGACACGACGCCAAGTTTTGTGCTGACTTGGTTATCAGCGGTATGTCTGCTACGTCTTTCGACTGAGCGATGGACCATAGGAGTGACGTCATTGAACCGACGGCAGATAAGGAGAGATTCTGAGAAGTGCATATAAATATAATGGGTACATGTAAAATGCTTACTTACTATCTATTTTTTTCTCTCTCACGCCTGTTAAGACAATTTGAAATTGTCTTGTTAACTTAGCTCCAAAACTTATAGATTGTTGTTGTGGTTGTTATTGTTGCTTTTGTTTTAATCTAAGAAAGGAAAATTAATTCATTTTACTTTGAGCCACAATGTGGAATCTCTGCATGACGAACATAACAAGCCAAAGAGTTTTGCCCAACTAAAATCATGACATGACTCACCAGTGACTCGGGAGACACTGTTTCCAAAAGCTCGAGAGCGGAACCAATCACGGATGAACTCTGAAGAATTTCTACAACATTTTTCACTTCTAAAGACTCCATTTTTCCAATGATGTAGTTTATAACCTTTAACCGTAATAGTCGTTTAGGTTAGTAAATTACTGAAATAAAGTAAGAGTCAATCTGAGAGTCTATGCATTACACTGAGAGGGGTTGTTAAACCTCACTTTGAAGTCCTTGACAATGGTCGTTAGAAACTGAATTCGCTATCTTTAACCGTTTATCTCGTTATAAAGGATAAGAAAAGTTTTTCAGCTCGTGACAACAGACGAGAAAGGAACAGTCAACATTTAAAGCATAAGCCGTGACCCTTGAGCATGAAAAAATACTTTGAGTTTAGCTAAAAATAACTCTTTTCCTCGACGTTCATAGTTCTTATCATGCCTCGCTCCGTTAGAAGTTTTCGCGGGAAAGTAAGCGATCGAATCTAAGTGCTTCTGTATACTCAAAAACCTTGACATAGCTCCTATAACTGATGAAAGTGCAATGAAGGCTTTTAAATAGAGCGTACCTTGGATCTCACCCTTGAATCCATTGACGGTTTTCGTGACATTGATCGCAGGACAGAATTTGCTATTAATGCTGCTTTCTCCAGGTTTCTTTTCTTGATGAATACATTAAATAAACTGTTATTTGCCATGAGGTTTACGGAAGCTGGCTGTACTCGCTGAGTTGGCTTGATCTACGAAAAGTCAAACGCACTTAGCCTTCTTAATCTTTAACTACAAAAGGCCAAAAGGAACTAATTACTCTCCAACTATATCAAGTTAGGCATTAGATTAATAGTTACTGACCTACCTGAATCGTCAAATGCACTGGGGAAGCAGAAATACCAAACTTATCAGTCACTGTAACGTTTATTTTTACTGTATAGTTATCTGCACTGTTCCCAGGCGGTATCCAAGAGGTAACTATGGTACTGTTAAGGCCATCATATAAAACGCTGTACAGATCGTTCCCTAGACTGTATTGAAACTGGTAGGACAGAGGAGTGTTGTCACTTTTCCAGTTGCTACAGCTCAGAATTGAATCACTCTCCAGTGAGATGCCACTTGGTGGAGTTATCGAGCAATTTCCCCCTGCGGGGGGTAACGCCGTGTAAATGTCATAGGCACTCATTCCCCATAGACCGCCCGTAGTTGTAATGAAGAGCGCTAAACGGTACTTTTTTCCACCAGCGAGAGAACCTCCTTTGATAACAATATTACTTGAATTCAAAGGTGTACCCGAGAAGAACTTATGTTTCCTTTGCCACACGTTGGAAGCGTTTTGACAGTATTTTTGATAGAGTATCCACTCATAAGAAGATATTTTCGAGCACTGTTGTCCTTGGCATAGGGATTGGACACTTAGTTTAACCGAGGGACTTATTTCAGGTCGGCAGTTTATGAAACATCTAGAATGAAAAAGAGGAATTGGGAATCAAACAATGAAGAAGGGGTCGTGGAGTACCGGTGCCTCACGAGAACCTGTAAGTCAAGAACAACAGGCCGCAATGGTAACTGCAATGCTATCAAGAGGTATCCCCAAAATTAATATAAACAACGGAAATGTTAACAACGACAAACATGTCAACAAGAAAAACAAAGCTGCGGCGAAGACTAACAGAATAAGAAACAGAAGATAAGAGAATGGGATAATAGAAGCATCAGTAGAGAAAATCAGTGGGAATTGAAACGACTAAAAAAAATGCTGATAAAAAAAACATAAAAACATTAAAAACGGCACCAAAAACAACAACCAAAATAAGCAAAAAAAAAAAAAAGGTAAAAAAAACAAAACAAAACAAAACAAACTTATTTACAAAGCAAAGTTCTAACCTTTGATATAATTCTGGGGAGTCTCCTGCCGAAAAATGGATCACCTGATAAACGGTGGAATTTCGGTAGTCTTTGGTGACTATCAGTCTAACTACGTAAGTCTGATTAGGAAAAAACCCTTTCGCGTTCAAGGAAATTTGTTCACCAGATTCTTTTCCATAATATTGAACGGCTGACTCGTTTAGCGCTGTGAAGAAATCTGTTTCCGCTTTCCGCAATTGTGCGCTGTGGTGATGTCCCGAGATTTCTCCATAGCTCCAAGTAAAGTTCATTCCTAATTGGTCACCATGTTCAACTTCCGGGTCATACGACAGCGAGGCATTCAATGTGATGTTTTTCTGGAGTCCTCTTATTACCTCGGCGCCACCGGAAATGATTGCAACAAGGTCTTGTTTCCTTTGGATAGACTCTTGACACAAGGAATAAATGGCACAGAAATTCGCTTCAGCTACATGAAAGAGCGTTTTTTTTTTTTCTGTTGCTATCAGTTTTACTTCAGATAAAATTGTTTTATTACATCTTTGACTTTTTTCGTTACTTGGAAAAGTTTTGAAAAATGTTTTCGAGTAACCCTCAGGGGATCCATAAGATGGATACTTTAAGCTCTTTTTAAGCTGTTTTACAGAGACAAACCTTTTACTTCCCGATGTGAGTAAAAGAAAAAAATCTGCGCTAAGGACAGGTCCGTATGAAATTAAGCTAGATAAAGTATTTATGACGAAGTGATATTCAAAGACCACAGCTGTGTAACAACATACATTCTTACTGTTTTTTTTTTCCTCGTACTCACCATAGTATACAGTTGTCGAAGTTGGATTTGATCTTAACGTCTGCAATGGTGGTGACGAAGGCAAAGACGACGATGAGGGCCAAGGCAAAGACGTAGGGGAAGACAAAGGCGAAGGTGAGGGCAAAGGAGAACGCAAAGACGAAAACAGAGATGAATAAGAAGGCACAGGTGAAGACGAAGACGAGGGAAAAGGCGTAAAGGGTGACGGGGAAGGAGGAGGTAGCAAAGTCAAAGCTGAAGCTGCTGCCGACGAAGTTGCTGAAAGTGTTTGCGATAGTAAGTGGTCAGATGACATTTAAAATGAAAGGATTTGTTCAAACCGTAATCAATGTGTAAGAAGACTGAAGTACCTACTCTACTTTATAACCTTTCAGCTCCCTATATATATATATATATATATATATATATATATATATATATATATATATATATATATAACCAGTTATTACGCTGGAATACTCCTTATCAACTATCAAAGTGCTCAATAGTTGGACTAGAGCAGTAGATAATATGATGAGCAACGAATTGGATTATTTGGTCCAAGACATTTAATTGCAATTAAATGTCTTAGACCAAATAACCCAATTCGTTGCTCATATATATTATATTTAACAATTATTCGCCGAAGACGAGGTGAATAAAGTCGAATAATCCCCGAGACGAAGTCACCGAACCTGAGGCGAATAATTGTTTTAGTATAGTTTCAGAGCTGAACAACAGAGAAATTTCTAAAATCATAACATTTTAGTAACCGCCTTCCGGTTAGCTCAGTGGATAGAGCGCTGGACTGTTGTGCGGGAGGTCGAGGGTTCGAGCCCCGGCCGGACCAACACTCAAGGTCTTGAAATAATTGAGAAGAATATGCTTCCTTTCTATAACATCAAGAAATGGTTAGATATTCTAGTCTTCTCGGATAGGGACGAATAAATGGAGGTCCCGTCTCCTACAGGGTTAGGGGTAGGAGACGTTAATTTCCCACGCACGAGATTACTGTGTG